CCTGGCCTGAAAGGAGACGCTACCGGTAGACTGCAGCGAGAACTGCCAGCATCTGAGCCAGACTCTGTCTCTCTCATCATGGTTATCTAAATGCACAGTGATGGCAGGTTTGTAATAAGGCAGATCACGCTAACATAATATGCACTGTTAGTTGATTATTTACCTGCCGCGTTAGGACGTGGACGTGCTAACGTTACCGCAGCTGCTGGGCTGAGATTCACGAGTCCGGAGTGGAATTAAAAACACGACATTCATTTAAGATCATCGCGTGTTTTGTGAGCAAATGCTTTTGCATATTCGTAGTGTTTCCTCCTGTTAAGGTTCAAAATTGAGGAAGGAGAGTACAAACCACCCATGGTCCAGAAGCTCTTGGTCAAACAATGATTTTAATGACTACACACGTGTGGGAAGAACACTCTGTGCGCAGACAGCAAGTGATCTTCAACTTAATCAAAGCATAAACAGATTTTTATAGCATCAGGGTTTGATTTACTGATGCCCCTTCATACGTCACAGACAGGATATATACATACGTCAAATCAACACCACAATGACTTTTAAGACAGAACATCATCTTCTATTTTCATGGCTGGCACTTCCTTTCTACCTTTCAGTTCCTCTTTCTTGCCGAGACGACAAGGACGGTTCCTCTTTTACCGAGACACTTTCGCAGTTCCACCCAGACATGACGAACCTCTTTCCTATAAATAATTCTAACTCATGTGTGTGTGTTGACCTCACTCAGCCTCTATGTCACCTCTTCACCTACTAACTGTCTGTGTCTCGTCCTCAAATGCTCTTTCTCAATTCACCTGTTGCACTTCTGACCTTTCACCAGGACCGAGGATCACTGAGACTATGTGTATGTCTTCTACTAAATAAATGTTCTAATCAAAAACCTCTAATGAAACCTTAATATAAAATAACCTGATATAAGTGTTTTGTAAGCATGTATTGCAATTATCCTTCTATGTTCTAGTTTTCCCTCAACATGGATCATCTGAACAGTCACGTCAGTGAAGCTTTAAACCTTTTAAAGAACCTGAACATCAACTCAAATAAGCACAGATATGCATTGTGTATAAAATAGTTATAACTGCATCTGGAATACAAGGTTAACATCATCATAAACATCTTAAGGCCTTCTTAAAGCTATCTGTTACATTGTTAAAGCAATGATCATACTGCAGATTATATTATTAATGCAATGGTACTGATGATAATTATTTAACAATAGCAGTAAAATAATTTCCCTGCTCCACACTCCCTTAAATGAAATATCTACTTTGCAAGTATTGCAAGTTGCCCTGTTGTCATCTGTTCTCGTAAAGTATGACTACACGTTTGAAGCGTTTGAGCCGCTTAGGCTCAAACGCCAGGTCATTTACCTGGCAGGAAACATGGGTTTCCTGCCAGTAAATGACGCTCTGCAATATGGTGACGTAATTCAGGGCGACTGGAATTGATAAGGGAATCGTTTGCAAAAATGGCAAACAATTCCAAGGATTTGAAACAGTGGGAACCGGTTCTCAACAAGAACCGGGTTTCGATACCCATCCCTACACACAATAGTTTCCAGTGGAATCCAAGGCAAGGGGAGCTTCCAGTGACGGAGGCCAACTGGGCACACAGAATGGGAATAATGTAAAGAATGCCTGCAAGCATGTGAGAGGCTTTATGACTCAACACTTTGCGATGAAAGAAGAGTGACGGCTTTCACTCTGGTGCGTTTTAACTGACGTTTAAATTTTAGATTTTACTGGGCAAGCACTGCTGTCCTTGCTTTCCTGACAGGATGTCACTGCTTTTAGGACATGGAGAGCTGCTGATGCAGAAATATGGAAAAAACAAAGTCTTAACACACAGAAACAAACCTATAATGTAACGTAAGTTACACAGTTGTGAACTTTTTTGCATATTCACATTTTGCTACGCAGCAATATTTGGCAAACACTGAAGCAAGATGTTCATTGCAGGCTATGGTTCATGTCATAACTGGGTTTAAACAGGGGTCAGTGTAAGCTGTGTATAGTACTGCTGTGAAAGGATTATGTGGCCACTGAGGACGGGAACACGAGTATGTCCTTCTTCCCCTCGCCATCAATCAAGACCTAGTGCTGTCAAAGTAACTGAACTTGGAGAAATGATGCAATTCATTTGTGGTCAGTTACTAGTTACTTCTTCAAAAAAGTAACTGAGTTAGTAACTGAGTTACAATATTCTAAAAGTAATTAATTACTAGTGATGCGCAAATCATGAACGAATCGTTCAATACTCGAGAATCACTTTACTGACTCATGAATCATGATTCACAAGCCCAACTGACTCACTGACTCATCCCAGTTGCTGTTAGCAGCAATGTATCTAGCTTATAATTAAAATGGTGGAGAAAAACACAACATCCAGTATCTTAACAAAAACATTTCTGCTCTGAACTGGAAGAAAAAACCCTGAGTAGAAGCTCACATCAAGACAATAGCTCCTCGGTTCACAGTAGCATCGCTCTGCTAACATGCTAACAACACATTTGAGCTACTCACCCCCTCCCTCCTGTGCTGAATCGTAGAGCGAACGAATCACTCACTCACCCCTTCCCTCCTGGCTAGTAATTAGTTAGATTACTTGTTACTGGAAAAAGTAACGCCGTTAGTAACGCCGTTACTTGTAACACCGTTATTCCCATCACTGCCAATGAGTTAGACAAAGAGTTTCCTAACCCAGTAAATGTTAATTTTCAAGCAGTCCACAGATCCTATACCTAAGATTTTGGTAAAATAATCTATGACTAATCTTATGAGAGGCAGAGCGCTACTATGGGCACAGGCCCAGTAACTCAAATGATGCATTGTCATATGTGTCAATAGTTCAAGTGTGTATTTGATGAAGGCACTATCTCTGATGCAGCTGCTGATTCCATGTATGCAGCAGGGAAAGCAGAGCAATGTATTTTAGGACAGTGAAAGGGGGGCTGGGACTTTCCTCCAGGGCCTAAACCACCCAAACAGCTTTGCAAACAGCTTGACATTCTTGTTGGTATTCTTGATATTCTTAGCTTGTTTCTATGTGTATTAGACTCAACAACCACCTCTGAGAACATCGGCACTTCCGAGCCAGTTAAGACCAACAGGCTTTGCCTCGAGCAGTTTTTCCTGGACTCCTGGTTAACACCAGAGGTGTGGAGCAGGAGAATAACAGCTGGTGAGAAACTGGAAATACATACAATATGAAGCGCCTTGAGGCAACTTTTGTTGTGATTTGGCGCTATATAAATAAAATTGAATTGAAATGTTCTTAACACCTGTCAGCGTGGCAGAGCCAATGATTTCTGTTCTGTTCTCATTAGTGGTCCCTGTGTACCAAACAGCCTGGCAACAGAGCATGCTCTTCACTGGGAAGCAGCAGAAGGTCCAGCAGCAAGATCTCCTCCGAGTTATTCCTCCCCGGGACATGTAGGACATGCAGCCGCTGCTGGGCCTTCTTTACCAGAGAAGTGGTGTAGTGAGTCTATTGACCGATTGAAGTTGAAATCTTTGATCCAGGAGCCGGTGGTAGGGAGAGTCCAGTTTGATGGTAGGGATGTCTGGGATAATGGTGTTGAACACTGAGCTCAGGTCCACCAAGAGCATCATACTCTGAGTTTGGCCTCACTGTCCTGATTATTTCTTCATTTTAGAAATTCAATAAGGTTTTCTTTTTTGTTTTGTAGTATTGCAGTTTTGTGTTCTGCATAAATTAGCTCCCAAGTACCCAGGCAATGGTCATCAGGTAGAGATATACATCTCAGGTATTTGACTGGCCCTTAAAAACTCTTTGTTGACTACATGTTGTGATTTCCTGCACACAACTAGAAACAAATCATTACACAGATAGTGAATATGCACTTCTCAGAAGCAACTCGGCTGCAAAAATATCCCACACATTTGGAAAACCATTTGTCTCATCAACTTGATAAAGATTAACAATGAATAGATTTCAATAAAATCAATAAAAGACAGCAAGACAGGAAGGAACTCACCGGAAACGAGTGAGACAGGTCACCCACAGACACGAATCTCACAGAAAAGTGGAATTCAGAACATGGTCTGTCAGTTCAATGCATGTTTTTCTGTGACACACTCACACACCCTTATTAAAATGCCATAGCCAGTCTGTGTAGCAGGAAGGGCAGTCTCAGTGCTTCATCTCTTAATCATGATTGCTGCGAACAGATCTCTATTTCTTGACTGTCAGCGAGTCTCCTGATCCTTAGTGCTCAAAAAAATATTTTTTGGCCGCACGATGAGGAGGTGTATTCACTGTGAGAGGAGAACGTAGGACCCAAATCAAAGCTTTCATTTTATTTCTAATAAATACCAGTTAATGTTAGTGTTCTTACAGTTTAATTTCCAGACTTAGGAAAGAAATATTTTTCATGCCAGGCAAATGCTGCCTTACACAAAAAAAGATCGATTCTCAGTCACTCAGAGCAAAGAATACAGTTTATTAATTTTACACAGCAAATACCTAAAGACGAGACACCAGCAATGTATCGGAACTGGGAAGAAACGTGGAATGGTGCATTCCTATCTAGTGCATGAGTGCATGACTGCGTTCAAACACAAAGTGTACAAGAAGAACCTCAAAGATGTGCTCTAGCTGTTAATAGGTGTACATTTAAGAGTTGCCATCTAGCCCCCCTTTGTGGTAAAGGTGGAAGCAATGAATGCATCTTTTTTTCAGCCATTAGGGAGACATTTAGGCCATAGACAGTAAAAAAGATTAATTGGGTCTGAAAAATGAAATGTGATGCCTAAAAACCCAGATGTTGAGATGTTGATCGCTATTGCTGAAAAATAAAAATCTGATTCTACAAAAGTCTACGAGGAAACAGTTTCTGACCTGATATCTCTGAATGCTCTGCTGCTGAGTTCATGGGCTCAGTCATATATAACATCTGCTTTTTCACCCACAGTGATAGCTATCACCTGCTGTCACCTGCTGTCACCTGCTGTCACTGTAAAATGTGGAGCGCTGTCTGGACTACCAGCTTCAAAGGGGGACTGAAGAACATGGACGTCCTGTGACGCTGTAGCCCAGGACTTTTCATGAGGTAATTTTTTTTCCTGACACATTTTCTTGTTATAGAGACAATACTGACATCTATTGTGAAAACAGATACACTTTAAGATGTAAAATAATCATTAGGAATTTTGCCTGAAGTGAGCAGCAACATCTTGACAGTCGGCTAAAATCTTGTACTTGTGTTGTTGTTTTACACTCCTAATGTGTAGTTATCATTTGGAAATGAGCGCCATCAAAGGAATATAATGCTAAAACGGTGTCCTCTCTGAAGAAAAATACCTAAATGATCAAAGTTGCTTTGTTTCAATAAAGACGTATAATTAGATGTTTTATGAACATTAAACATCTGCTGTAGCTCCATGCTGCAGTTGCTGCTGACTTACAGACAATTAAAAGGGTGCTGAATGAATTTCCTTGACCGGAGAAAGACTCACTGTTCAGCATCCTCTATTAATCTAATATCACTTGTCACTGAAACACAAACAATGCATGTATAGAAGCGAACACAGTGATATACAAATATGGTCAAAACAGGTTAACAGGTTTGCTGACTTTACATGAGAATCCTCCTTATAGAGTGAAAGCAAGAAGAAAAGTGCTGCAGAGGAATGAAGGAGACTAAGAGCGATCGATACACTAGCAGAAAGAAGTCCATGGCGAGTGGAAAATGCAAACAGAAGGCAAATGAGAATAAATAAAGGACAGACAAAAATAGAGAGGGATGATTGGATCTAAAACATTTAAGTGCCCAGGAGATACGGCGTACACACCGTCCCACACTCCAACAATGGCCAGAGCATCAGCTGGTCTCTGAGAGCGTCTGTCCTCTTGCTGAACTCACAAACACACACACGCATACAAACAAGCACACACACTGGTAACACAGAGTTCAGGACATCCCGTTGGGATGAGCTGTCATCTTCATGGTTACAGTCCAAGTTCAGAGCTAGGACATAGATGGCACACACACACAGCAGTGTCCACCATGTTCGTTGGTCAATGCACACACACTCACACACACACACACACAGCAACAAAATTGTAGTTTTGGATTGCAAACTTCTGTGTATGTGTGTGTCCATAATTCATCCTCTCTCAAAGTCTCCCAGTGCGTCTCCATGCTCTGCTTTTAGTTTGCCCTTCTGAGTTTCTGGTGCCAAAGTGCAGTCGGCAGATTCTGGCAGCCCTGGTACTCTCGCTGCATCTCGCTATCTGTTAGAGGTGGTGTGGCATTGCACGGGGCACCAGCCAAGGTCACGTTTAAAAGGCCCGCCCATGGCTCCAGAAGGCGAAACATCCCAGCATCCTGACACATCATGAGAGGAGATTAGAAAAGTATTCAGAGGAGTAAACACTGAAACAAAGATTCATCTAAAAGGTCACCTTTCCCAGGTGGTCCAGCAAGCAGGTGGCAGGACTGATTAAGGACCAGCTGCTGTCCTCCCAGCCTGGACTCAACTTGTGGTTCAGGTGGGCATAAGTCTGCCTGGCCGGGTTCTGGATTAGAACCACATTGAGGTGTTTCTGAGAGCCTTGCAGCCGCTTGGATAGGACACCGCTGTAGCTCTGATCCACAAACAGCAGGACACGAGTTGCCCTGCAGCCGGCCAGGTCGGCCAACAGCTCATTGACTGAGTAGCGCTCTTTTAGATCTGCCTGGAAAAAGAAAGGGAGGCAGAGAGAATCAGAAATGGAAGTGTGTGAAGGCACACAGGGACAGATGGATTACAAGGAAACAGATGTGAGACAATCAGGAAAGAAAAGCAGTCAAGTGCCAGCAGTAGGAAAGAAGAAAGGACCACATCAGCATCTACTGTTTACCATGTACCATGTTCACTTTTTGGCTGGCCTCTTGCACCATAGGTTTAACTTTCTCCAGTCCATCAATTCAATTCAATTCAATTCAATTCAATTCAATTCAATTCAATTCAATTCAATTCATTTCAATTTTATTTATATAGCGCCAAATCACAACAAAAGTCGCCTCAAGGCGCTTCATAGATACAGAGAAAAACCCAACAATCATATGACCCCCTATGAGCACTTTGGCGACAGTGGGAAGGAAAAACTCCCTTTTAACAGGAAGAAACCTCCGGCAGAACCAGGTTCAGGGAGGGGTGGGGCCATCTGCTGTGATTGGTTGGGGTGAGAGAAGGAAGACAGGATAAAGACATGCTGTGGAAGAGAGACAGAGGTTAATAACAGATATGATTCAATGCAGAGAGGTCTGTTAACACATAGTGAGTGAGAAAGGTGACTGGAAAGGGAAAACTCAATGCATCATGGGAATCCCCCGGCAGCCTACGTCTATTGCAGCATCACTAAGGGAGGATTCAGGGTCACCTGGTCCAGCCCTAACTATATGCTTTAGCAAAAAGGAAAGTTTGAAGCCTAATCTTGAAAGTAGAGATACTGTCTGTCTCCTGAATCCAAACTGGAAGCTGGTTCCACAGAAGAGGGGCCTGAAAACTGAAGGCTCTGCCTCCCATTCTACTTTTAAATACTCTAGGAACAACAAGTAGGCCTGCAGAGAGAGAGCGAAGTGCTCTAATAGGGTGATATGGTACTACAAGGTCATTAAGATAAGATGATGAGATGAGATGAGATAGCGTTTATTTGTCAGTTGCAGGTCTTTTGTCCACAACCGAGATGACAGACCTTGCCGACCGTACATACAATACAAACATCACATTGGGGAGACAGGTCAGGCTAGGTAGCGAGGAAAAAAAAACATTGAAATGTGCAACACAAAAGGATAATACAGGAATGCACAGGTATCAACACACCATAACACAATAAACACAGACAGCAACATGGGAAAGAGTTCCAGTGTGTACATCTGATCTGGGACCGCTGCAATCTTTAGACTGCGCCTCCAGCTGACCCGATGTCCACATCAGAGGGGAGGTAAGCGTTGAAGGAGGCGTTGGATCCGGGGTAGGGAGGGTGATGCGTCAGTGAGTGCTTATCAGTATCAGTATATGTATGTGTGTGTGTGTCCATAGTTCAGCTGAGACAGTGTCCTTCACCCTGCCAGGCTAAGTAAACAGTCTTCCAGCCAACCCAGGTGGCCTTGCAGGGAATGGGAAGGAACAGACTCAACACAGTCGTTATGGGGCCTGATTATTTAAGACCTTGTATGTGAGGAGCAGGATTTTGAATTCTGGATTTAACAGGAAGCCAAAACAGGAGAAATCTGCTCTCTCTTTCTAGTCCCTGTCAGGACTCTTGCTGCAGCATTTTGGATCAGCTGAAGGCTTTTCAATGAGTTTTTAGGACATCCTGATAATAATGAATTACAGTCGTCCAGCCTGGAAGTAATAAATGCATGAACTAGTTTTTCAGCGTCACTCTGAGACAGGATATTTCTAACTTTAGAGATGTTGCACAAATGGAAGAAAGCAGTCTTACATATTTGTTTAATATGTGCATTGAAGGACATATCCTGGTCAAAAATGACTCCAAGGTTCCTCACAGTGTTACTGGAGGCCAAGGTAATGCCATCCAGAGTAAGAATCTGCTTAGATACCATATTTCTAAGCCTCAGTTTTATCTGAATTAAGAAGCAGAAAGTTAGCGGCCATCCAGGTCTTTATGTCTTTAAGACATTCCTGCAGTTTAACTCATTGGTGTGTGTTATCTGGCTTCATGGACAGATAGAGCTGGGTGTCATCTGCATAGCAGTGTAAATGTATGCTATGTCTTCTAATGATGCTGCCTAAGGGAAGCATGTATAATGTAAACAGAATTGGTCCTAGCACTGAACCCTGTGGAACTCCATAATTGACCTCAGTGTGTGAAAAGGACCATCCGGTGTAGTTTCTCTGTTGACACTTGAGTTTGGCTCTAAAAGTAAATCGCTACAAACTCCAATGTTGTCCAGCTTTACAGGATAAATAAACAGCGTGCTCGGGGCTTCCCATGATGCACCCAGTGTTCTCTCGTCCCCTTTTACCTTACAATATTAAGCACCTTGAGGTGGCTTGCTGTGCTTTGCTGCTATATAAATTACATTGAATTGATCCCTGGATTGTGCTGGTGCTGTTGTTGCCTTTTAAAACATTTTTAATATAGTCATTAAAATAGAAAATAGGCCAATTTATCCAGATTGTATTTGATGTCAGTGAGTGACACTTTGGTATTAGACAAGTCTTTTATGTAGCACTAATTAGCTGATTTGTGTGTTTGTACATTATACCCTTAAACTTGGATGTAGCGTACTACCCAAGCTAGCAGGTGTTACCTGATAACTGCCACTCTAGTGTGGTCATTGTAGACAGCAAAAGACTTCAAACCTGTGACGTCACAGTGAATTGTTATAATATATAATATAATCTGTGGCCATGCACATTTGTTTTGTTTTTTTCATGTTTGATTGAGTGCCACTACCAAGTTTTACCTTTATGTTTACTTAATTTATTCTAGTGTAGTTTTCTTTGTGTGTGTGTGTGTGTGTGTGTGTGTGTGTGTGTGTGTGTGTGTGTGTGTGTGCACGCGTGTGCGTGTGTGTGGTGGTGTAGCCTCTTACAATGCCATTAAGGTTGGCATCCCACAGTAGCATGGTGCCATCCTTGCACGTTGGTGAGTTCAGGTACAGAACCAACATGTCGGCACAGTGCTGCTTCCTGCAGACGTACGACACGTGGTTACGGATCACCGATTTCTCTGTTGCAGAGTATGCGCCCTCTACATCCTCTGCAAAGGGAGGAGACCGCAGAGAGGGGTCAGGTACAGACACACATTTTAACAAACAGTCGGTGCGTCAACGTCCTATAATATTCGGCTTTTATCATCAGCCTACGTTGCTGAATTTTAGAAAGATTGTTGTTAACAAAACTCAACAGACATGATGTTGAAAGAACAGAATAAACTACAGTGAAAGTATATATATAACTTTATAAAAATTTAAAGGAGGAAGTGTTTGTAATTAAATAATAAAAATTTGTGTGATTATTCAGAATTTATCAGAGCAACATATCAAAACAGTTCTGCAGCCAGTGAACAAGCACCGATTTTTAATTAGTTTCTATACTTGGCAAATAAAGATATCAAATAAATGTAGTGGACATTTTGAAAGTAAAGAGTAAAAACTCCACCAGTGTTCCTACCAGGAAGCTGTCCACTGCTGCCGAAGAAGGTCTTAATGTGATCCTTATGGAAGCCGTTGTTCTGCAGCATTTTGTAGAACCGCTGAAGATTCTGAACATGATGCTGGAACATCACTAGTTGCTGCCAGCCACCTACACACACACACACACACACGTTTCCATCACTGTACTCTGACTTGCATTCAGTTCTTAAAGACTCGAACCGTAGACCAATCATTAATACTAAAACATTATGGGAGCTGCATTTTTGACCAAAAGCTAAATTATTCTCCATCACATAAGGAGGTGTACTAAACAACTATATGGCTATATAGAGCTGACATGTCACCATACTAACTTATTTATTTACTACTAAACTTTACTGACAGCTATGGTTAGCAATAGGGATGGGTACCGGTGTCCGGTGCCATGATGGCACCGGTTCTAACATAAACGGTAGTAACCAGACCGAAAAGCAGCGCACATTTCGGTGCTTTATTTCGGTGCTTTTTTTCCCTGAGCTGTGATACACTTCTAGCCAATCATTTTACGTTTCCGAGGATAGTAGGCGGGCCCAGGTACGTACGTTCTTTTAGAGCAGAGCTACAGATTAAAAATGTCCAAGGCGAAGCGGTCAAAAGTCTGGCTGTACTTCACAGCAAAAGATGCAAACTCAGCAGCAACAAGTGCTTTAAGCTGATACTGTGATACTGTGCAAAGGAGGTAACACCTCAAATCCGATGAAACACCTGGCGACGCATAGCGTTTTTTTTAAAAGCCGAGAAATGCGCCGTATTTGATAGCTTGCTGCGAGACCTCACACCGAGCGCATCTACTGCGGGTGTGGTGCCTGTTATCGGACCCGGAGTTAGCAACATCCCCAAAAACACGAAGAGGAGAGTCCTGGCCCCTAGCCCTGCCAGTGTAGCAGAAATGATGAGGATGATGATGCAGCAGCAGCCGTTCTTCTCTGCGTGAGTAGCTTAATGTTGTTCTGTGTAATTTACGTTGAGTAGGCTAACCACGTTATTACATTAATGCATGTAAGGTGAACTAGCAAACACCGTCGTAGTTACATGCAGCTGTCTTCTTGTTTGATGGCAGATACTCCCTTCACCCTGGCCAAAAAGGCTAAAATGACCAAAGAAAAAGAGGGAAACGGCTAAACATGAGAGGTTTTTGGATAAAGTTTGTGTTTTTTCCATTGTTTAAGCACTGCTTCCAGCCAAGAGTGATACCATATATGCCCCATAGCTGCAGAAAAGGCTAACATTGCTATCTTTTTACAAAAAACCAGCTGAACTTGCTAAGTGGGAGAAGTGGACATTATATGGCACCAAGGAAAATTAATGAACGAACAAAACATTTAAGGTCTATAAAACTCTGTATATCTATTGATGCATGCCCGTATAAAAGTACGTATATAAGCTGGAGTATGTATGCTGCGGAGTAAAGGCAGGCATGCATACGGTAGTTGATTAGAATTGGCACCCACACCTTTTGTTCACTTTAGTTCTGTTTGTTTTGACTGTGTGCTTGCATGGTTATTTCTCCTGTAATGCAATACATGTCTATGTTTAAACTGTGACAAAACTATCAATAAAAATTACAGTGTCAAAAAAAAAAACCCCAAAAAAAAAACAGCTGAACATGAGAGGTTTTTGGACCAATTTTGTGTTCTCCATTCTTTAAGCACTGGTTTGAGCACCGTTTGAGCACCGGCACCATTTCAAAAGTACCGATTTGGCACCGGTATCGGATAAAACCTAAACGATACCCATCCCTAGTTAGCAATAAGGAACAGTTTGCATTTTACTGGAAAGAGTTTCATATTGTGAAGTAAAGAGCCTACAGCATTACAGAGAGAATCCCAGTGATCACAGTGTCATCTACGAACACTTGGCAGCAGTGAGAAGGAAGAACTCACGTTTACCAAGAAGAGACTCCTCCCACTAGGTGGGAATTACACCAGATGGGAGGAACTGAATGGGAATACCAAAGATGAATAACAAACTTATCATCAACTAAAACCAACATGGAACTTCAAGCACACATAAGAAATTCATAAACAGAAGGAAAGTAAAACTACCATCATAAGCAGAAGGAGCTTGAACATTAATCCCATTTCATAACCCAGGATGAACCTACACTCAAAAAAATCTGCTGTTGGATGAACACAATTTAATCTTGGCACCTTTTTCCACGTGATTTAACCAAGTACAATAACTCTTTTTGACCATGTCAAACCAACACATTTGGCATTTGATGGTTTAATGCAATCAGATTATGTTGGATCAACGTAGTATACTTACATTGACTTGAAGTGAGTTACTGAAGTATGTAAAGTGAAATTTGTTTTAATTCATTCTACACAAGTTAAAAACTTCAGGAAAACACAATGAAATCTTGTTGTTTAAACAACTACTTTGTTAATCAAGGCAATATGGACTGAAAATGTGACATCATTCTGGGGTAAAACCACACAGGATTGTGGGTACGAGTGGCCAGTGGTACTAGTGCACGCAGGCTTTCACATGAAAACAGTCACACAGCGATAAAAAGAAACACAAAGAAAGGCAAGAAGCTGTTGTTGTCATGGTCCGCGGCCCGGCGTCCGAGGTGCTGATGGGATGCCCATGCCCACGGGCGTGGCTGCTAACTCCACACCTGCATCCCATCCCAGGCGATCACCAGGTGGACTATTTAATCCTGCCCAGCCTGCTGCTCCACGCCAGTCCGTAGTCGTCTCTCAGTGGTAACATACACCTGCGGGAAAGCCCTTATGAAAACTTATTCGTCTGAACTAGCACTAACTCTGCCCTGTGTACTCAGATCACAACTCGGCGTGTTTTGAGCCACCTGCCTGTCCACCTGCCCGTCTGGAATTTGGATCACGATCAGCACTTGCCACCTCGACTTTTCTGGAGCTCTCCCGCGGACCCTCACCCCTCCCTCCGGCTCCCTCGGCCCCGCTATCATCGTAAGACGCATACTCTACCTCCCCTCACATGCTGCCATTTCCCCGCACTCCAATAATCCTTTTCCTTTTTCTGTTGCAGCCTCCCACAGTCCCGCTCTCGGCGTTCCTGCGCAACTCACCTCCCGGTCCTTCGGTTTCTCTGGTTCCACGCGTTTTCCCCTTCTACCCTCCCGGGACACCTTCAGTTATAATAAAGTTTATTTTTTTTCTCATACGGTGTGTGTGTGCTCTGCTTCTGGGTCCAGCTTGTGCGTGGAACTTCGGTTCATGACAGTACGGACTGGCCAGTATGGACCCAGCAGATTCACTCCGCTCCACCATTAATAAACAGGGCGCTATTCTCGGTCGCCACGATCAGCAGCTCCAATCACTCCAAGACCGTTACCAAGAGCTCAGTGACACTCAGGATCAGCTGCAAACCAAGCCGCCCGACCCCGTGCACCGCAGCGTTTCACCTCCGCCGCTGGAGCCCTTCCACGGGGAGTTAGACCTGTGTGGGGGGTTCCTTTTCCAATGCTCCTTGTTCTTCAGCCGCACGCCGCACGCCTTCCCCACGGATGCTGCTAAGATCTCCTACTTTGTGAGGTTGTTACGGGGATGAGCTTTAGCATGGGCTGAGGCTTATTTAACCTCTCACCCCATTAGTGGTTGCGATTACGACGATTTCCTGGAGGAGTTCCAGGCTACGCTCTCCCCTCCAGTCTCGGAGGACGACGCCGCGCAGAAATTGCTGGGGCTCCGTCAGGGGCAGCGCAGTATTGCGGAGTACCTAGTCGAGTTTCGTACCAGAGCGGTCGCCGTGGGTTGGCCCAATTCGGCCCTCCGTGGGGTCTTTTTACGGTCGCTAACCGACCAGATGAAAGACCAACTAGCGTTTCACGAGGAAACTAAATCCTTCGAAGAATTGGCTTCCCTCGCCCGCAGGATCAATAGACGCCTGCGGGAGAGGGATGCCGAGCGGCGGCTTAAGCCTATGGGCTCCGTATTGCGCCCGGGATCCGTGTTTCTTCGTCCCCACCCACGGCTGCGTGTACGCGTTCTCCATCGCCTCCTCCGCCCGAACCCATGCAAATCGGACGCTCTCGGCTTTCTCCGGAGGAGAGGGAACGCCGATTCCGGGCTGGGGATTGCCTGTACTGTGGGAGGCCCGGTCACCGCATCGCTGTTTGCCCGGTCCGCCCAAACGACCCGGCCCACCGATAAGTCCGGGAATACGGGTGGGCAGCACTTTAAGCACTACTAGACCCCAATTGTTACTGTCCGTTACCATCGTGACTAATAACCAGACTTTTACATGCCTCGCACTGGTGGACTCCAGGGCGGAACAGAACCTCATGGATGAGAAACTGGCTAAGAGGTTAGCGGTATCTCTTACTCCACTCGAACCGCCCATCCCTGCGTCCACATTGATGAAATCAGGTGTTTGCTTATATCACTCACCAAACCGCGCCAGTACAGTTAGTCGCATCAGGAAACCACCAGGAGCAGCTTTCCTTTTTCACTTTCCCCTCTCCTGACACCCCGCTTATCTTAGGTTACCCCTGGTTACAGAGGCATAATCCTCACATTGATTGGGCCGGAAAGAGAATCGCGAGCTGGAGTTTGTTTTGTCTGGCAAACTGCTTGGGGTCAGCCGTTCCCCCCGCCTCAACGGAACGGAGCCCAGTCCCGCCACCAGCACTAGACCTCTCTTCCGTTCCCCCTGAATATCACGATCTACGGCAGGTGTTCAGTAAAGACGAGGCACTCTCACTACCACCTCACCGACCATATGACTGCGCCATTGATCTACTCCCGGGAGCTTCGCTACCCTCTAGCAGACTGTACAACCTGTCTCGCCCCGAAAGAGAAACTATGGAGAATTACATCCAGGAGTCGCTAACAGCAGGAAGAATCAGGCCGTCATCCTCCCCTGTCGCTGCGGGTTTTTTCTTTGTGGGAAAGAAGGACGGGACGCTCCGACCGTGCATCGATTACCGGGGTCTAAACGACATCACCGTCAAGAATAAATATCCCCTCCTACTAATTAATTCTGTTTTTGACTCACTCCAGGAAGCCACAGTCTTCACCAAGCTGGACCTGCGGAACGCCTATCACCTGGTTAGGATACGTGAGGGTGACGAGTGGAAGACCACCTTCAATACCCCACTAGGGCACTTTGAATATCTGGTGA